CAAAAAGTGGTCTTGAGCAAAGTTCTAGCTGGGAAAATTTCCTACAAGTACAGTTGAAAGTTTTTGAAGCAGACCGATAAGGTGAATTATTAGATATACATTATCAGATACACATCTTGGTTTTACCATAGTAATTCCCATACAAACTTTAAATGGTTTGTGCCATCTCAGTTCCTCACCAAATGGGTTCAAATTTTGAGAGGTTAGTCAGGATCCAATTTGGAATCGTTTAAGTATTTTGGAGCAAAAATTTCAAATTTTGCATCACTCGAATATCCATGATCCAGAACCTGAAAAAAATCAAACCACTGCATTTTAATTTTTTTTCAATTTATTTATTTATTTGATAAGGCTTAAACGAATTAACTATACAGAGCCGAGGATTCTCGGTCACTATACAATACATCTTAAAATTATAGTCAAAAGGTACAACACAACAAACACTTTATCTTCCGCTATCCAAAAAGCCTCCTCTATCAGAACTGGAGCCGCTTCCAGTGGTTTCATTGTATGGTAGTTACGCCATCGGGGGGCAGAGCGCTTCCATTGCAGCAATGGACGCAAAACGTGGTCAGCACTCACACACTTATCACGAAACGGTTGCTTTCCAAAGTCGACGATGCATCGGCCGAAAGAACTGCTGATGAAGAACAATGAGGAAGACCACACAATGGTTGCTGCCAAGAAAACAGACGATCGCGTGGCACACATCGAGAGTGGCCTGCTTTTGTCGACAGCCGAGTGAACACTGATTTTTAAAATTGATTTGATGAAGAATCCAAAAAATACAAATTAATTAAATTATATTGAGTAAACTGTCTATCAGCCTACTCTAGTCCTATATTGAAAAACTAGGCATTGAGAATATGGCAGTCGTAGTAACGAGGTGTACGCAAATATTTGAGAAATTATAATAAATTTATTTAAAAAAAAATTTAAGTTTAAATAAGTTGCATTGAAGCTTCCATATTATGTTATATCAGCGAAAAATATGACACCTCGAAAAATTGAACTGTAAATTCACCTCTGAACGATTTAATTTAAGCATGGGACTGATATGCGATTACTTTTCTTGATGGGACAAATTGATTTGATGTTGTTATCACATTTTTCATGATCAAAGTCCGTAATTTTATCACATAATATGAAAGAAGATGCCAATTGATAGTGGATAGCGTTGTTATCTCAATTGAGACGATAATCCATATGGGACTGATATGGGATTATAGGCAGAAAACTGCTTTAAAAACAAAACCAGTCATACAAAGATTATATAAACTGTTATAGAACATATGTGTTGCTTGGGATTAGTGAAACAAAATAACGAGGAAAGTAAAATGATCGCATTGTAAAGAATCAATGTAATTCCTTAGTAAGAGAGTTAGAGTATTCCAGGTTGTAGACACCTTGTCATGTTCGAACACAAATGTTTTATAAGCATTGTAGATGTTTTAGTTAAAATTGAGGAAAATAGTCCCAAAACAGAATAAAAAAGAAAAAGACAATTGACACCGTCTTCAACCAGAGGTTGTACAGACTGAAAACTTAACACTAAACAACGGGCAACACTCAACACACCCAGTAGACCAGTGGGGAAATTTCCGGGTAGCGAAAAGTTCCACCGGCTGGAGCGGGAATCGAACCCTCACTTCGTGGCACTCACAATACGCCTGAACGACGGGTGACGCCGCTAACCGCACGACCACGAAGCCCACTAATAATATTGAAATAATAACGTTGATAGTAGTTCTAATAACAGAATGTTTTATCTAGATTTGATATTGGTAAATATCAATCGCAAATCTGCTGTACAATTTACAAAATTAATCCATTTTCCAGAAAAATTAAGATGATGATGATGATGATGGTCCCACCTCTTATCCCTACATCGAGAACATCGAAGAGTAACGTCTAACGTGCCAAGGCTAGAAACAAGCTGAAATCGTTCAAGAAGTAGAAGAAGCCGAAACGGAGTCAGAAACAGGCCATATCCGTTAAACCGAGGACTCGGAAGGTAGGGGAAATGTCTCTAATGTTGGCCTATGGATCTAATATTGGGCCCATCGCTAAAAATCTGCTATTTATCAATTTTATCTAGATGAACGCGTTATTGGGAGGTTACAAATGGATATTTTTGGTTGCTATTGAAAATTTAGTCGATTGCTGAATTTATGTATGGGCCCAAATTAGGGACACTAAGGCCGACATTACCTGCATTTCCCCTATATGACAACCTGTTGTGTGGAAAATTGGCGTGTGTTATCATGGACGATGAAACATACGTCAAATTTGACTATTTGACTACGCTCCCGGGTGACCAGTACTACAAAATTTGGTACGAATGTCATGGTTTTGCAAGCAGCATCTGCGGCCCATCCGTCAAATAGATAGCTCAGTACTGTTTTGGTCCACAGCACTAATCGAAAGACATCCCTGCGCTTCGGTCAGAGAGCGTATAGGGCGTCGTTGTGCCAATTTGGGCGTGGCACATTTCGAGTATGAGAGAGTAATTGCAGTTAGATCAAAAGTGTCTGAGAAAAATGCAAGTACTTTCGCTGATTACCCTAAGTTGCGATAGTGAAGGTATGATCACATACAAGCAGACATAGCACTCCTAAAACGTTCACCAAAATCGTTTTTAACGGTCAATTTAAATGTTTCTTAGTTGGTAGTACTGCCACTTATGGTGCACATAATCAATTCCCTAGCGTTTGATGTTTACACACTACAACCATCTGTTGAGTGTATTGCCCATTACAATGATAAATTTTCAATGTGTTGTGTCTGCTTGTCTGTGAAATAGCATTGAGGTAACGTTAGGATAAAATCAAAACATTGAGAAATATTACGCATCACTTTCAGAAATACTTCACTTCGCAACCGATGAACCATTCTGACCGCCATATGTGTACCTAAGTAACCATATAGTCGCAATATAGCTTGTATATTCTTACTTTGCTTGAGTATGGTTAGTTGGGGAATCTGATGAAACTGTCACTTCTTGAAACTGATCCCTTTCGTCTTTCTTTCATTCTCCTTTCGCACACTGAGCGCTCGGTAGACCAGCGACTTTGGACGTGAGCCTCGTCCCAGATCACCATGGCAATTCAATAACAGATGGTGGACATCAAACCGACCAAAAAAGACGGAATCATATTAGAACCAACCAACCAAGGACGATCTAGAGAAGGAAATTGCCGGTAAAGCACGGAATGAAAAACGAAGCGTTAGAGAAAAACTCCAAGGGATTCCAAAAGAAGCAATTAACGACGGCGGAAGAGCAGAATATGGTGAGAGCTTTCCATTTACTGCCGATACTCGCATAATTGTCCCATCTTTGCTTGATTTCCTATTCATATGGGACAGTTATGCTTTTTTGGGCAGTTTGTTTAAAAAAAAAAAATATCAAAATTAAACTAAATACATGGCAGGGTTGAAAAGAATATTTTCGCACCTGGAAGTGTGTATGTATCACCAATACCCATTTGATAACGGTGATGCATACATGCGGGGCTTATTGTAAGTGAAAGAAACCTCGGAATGGGCGTGACTCTCCAGACATTCTGAAATGGGTTGCTGGATCTGCAATAGAGCTATCACTTTCTAACTCCCGGACTAAAGCTGTCTACAATGACCATAAATGCGACATTATAGAGAGCGTTCTTCCATAATAACACTGCCGGCCAGTGGGGGTTAGAGGGAATACACACACACACACCCACACACAGCACTAATCGAAAGGCATGGTAGCTTGGTACAAAGCAAATAATGTTTTTTTTTAGTTCTTTATTAAGGAGAATTTTAGCCTATGGCTAGTTCATCTCCGGAGAAAGGAGAGGGCTCAGAGTGAGTTACCTTTAGATACATGGTATATTAACATTTAGTAAATAACTTTGGTTGCTGGCTCTTCAACTTATATGAAAAAATAACAATATATAAAATAATGAAACAGAGGAACAACAGAAAACAAAATGATTTAAGACAAGCTACAAACGATTAATCCAAACAAAACAGAGCTCAGCTGACATGGGTCCAAAAGGGGAAATCCATCCAGCTGAGATGTGCCGACGGCCGAAAGAAATTCCTGCTATACCAAGTGGTAGATTTTGGCTTCTTTTAAGAAGGTTACTAGTACTGCCGAGGCCGAAGTATCATTCCCGAGCAGATCGCTGATGCTGGAAGTTAGGCAGAGTGACTTCCCGAAGATTTTTTGAACTCCGGGCAGTTGCACAGGATGTGTTCAACGGTGTAGGGTACCCCACAGATGATGCAGCTTCTGCGGAACGGCAGGCCACCATAGTTATAGTAGAGTTTAGTGTGCCCGGATCGAAGCCACGAAATCACGCGTTGATCCTTAAGGTTGTCCAGTTCTCTCCATGGTTCAGTTGACCCTTTGAATGTGCAATACGTGCCAAAATAGATGAATCCTCCGAATTATCTGGAGGCCCGATCAATCGAAACTTTTTGGGCCCTTTCCAAGGAATATCTATGGAAACGCTTCAATGCAGCGAATTCAATGGAACAATTTGAAAAAGACAGGAAAAGATCAAAAGTTCGCTCCTTGGCGTACGATTAAAGGAACTGCAGATTGTTTTCCTCCAATTGAAAGAGAATACTATAGAGAACATATATATGAAATAAGAATTTAAGTTCAATAACATAACGTTGTTTTATTCCAATAATAAACTGTGCTTATACTTTTTGGCACACCCTATATGCGGAAAATGTAGGAAAATTTTACTCATTCTATGCGTAACCATGGTGTTTGCACATTTGAGTAAATGGAACTTGAGATTCAAAGATGTAAATCAACACCAGATGCACCATCATCATCTTCATCACAAGCAATGTATCTTCGCTTTGATGGTGGCATCAGCATCGATGTGCAATCAAAGCTCAGATACATAAAATAAGATTAGAGTACACATTCCCTCGATACTGTTTGTCGGATAAAAGTCAGTAACGGTCCCCATCGTGCAGCACCCCACTCACTTACTTACCATTCAATACGTGCACATTGATGAAGTACGAATTGGCGTTGGATGGGGAGCACACGTACTTGCCCGAGTCCGGTCCCTTGGCACGCTGGATCAACAGGTACGAGGTGGTTGTTTCGCCCTTCTCCGTTATCACTGACACACCGCCGCGGGCTGAGTCGTAATTAATTTCCTGACGCAGCAATAGAAAAGAAAGGGATGCAAAAAAAGGTGGAAGATTAAATCGGACTCGCATTGCAAAAGTAAGAATTATAAAAAATAGATTATGGAACAAGCTTCAGAAACATAGTGGGAAGGATTACCGGTACACTTTTGTCCCTCTAGTCGACATCGTTATGGAACCATTGCATGGTAAGCAAATGATTACGGAACATTTAAGTGTTGCAGAATCATTCATTAAGATGATGTCGGCGGTTGAGTAGGGCAGTGTTTTTATTTTCAGAATCGATTCAAAGCTCTAATATGTGGCATTAAGGCCTTCATATGCAGAAGATAATAAATATGATGAAAGTTGATATTATTATTTGACCAAAACTATTGCTATTTATAAACGACATGGGTCATGATTGGCACAGATTGGCCGATATCTCTAGATCTAAATCAATCTGAGTGCCTCACAAATCCAAAGGATGGGAGAAATTTTCAATCAAGTTACTGGCTTGTATGCAAATAGGTGTTCGATTTCCATCAGACCTCTACACTGGAGTCTACTTTCAGCTCTGTACTACGCAGAGGACACCTCTACTTATAAACTTTATCAGCTGCAACGCAAGTGCAAGTGGGTAGCAAATTAATTGAATTCATGAATACCCATTCCTGTTACCTGGCTTGAATTTTATTTCCTGAGCTTGCATCAATAGGCAAACGATAGGTAACTGCTCTTTGATCTTATGATCAAACGCATTGACGTAAAAGTCAATTGTGAGCATCGATTCCCGTCCTTTTTTCAATCTTGAAAATCGAATCTAATTAAGGGATTTCCAACCTCCGGTATGACAACACCCACGCAAACACAGAAAAAATCATCAGCTTAAACTAGTTGAATTTATTGAGCTTAGAAATTATTATTTAATAGCAGAATAAACAAATATCAAACGTGACACAATTAACCGTCGACACAACTGTTGAAATGTGAATTATAAAAAATATTTAAAATCAATGAATGTGACAGATTGAAAATCTGGAAGTTAATAAAAATTGTAATGGCGATCGCTACAGTTCATTCCGTAGTGCTGTGGTTCTTAATTTGTAATTTTGTGTCAATTATGCTGTGTGCCACAGAAGAATTCACTCTTTTGACAGTTTAACTTTCACGTACATGCGACACGTACAAAAAATAAGAAACATGCCCACTGTGCAGTACATACTGCAATAGATGTTGGCTGATTTACAGATAGCTAGTTATTTATAGGAGACCTTTGAACGGTAAAAAGTAATTTTATTTTATAAATAATGTGGTATAATTTGTTTTATTTATATTTGTTTTACAGAATATAGAATTGAATTTTTCGAGTTACAGGCCATAACTACGGACCAGATTCCAAAGTTCTTCCAACCTTCCAACAAAAACAATTTGGAAATACTCTGTACTCTAAGTTAATTTACTCCAGACGAACACGCTATCTCAGCCGCTCCGTAACATAAACAGAAGGAAAACAGTGTTCTCGCGAGTCCACGAGAACATACTCCAAACATAGAGATTATTCCAGCAGTGAAACTTCCGGTGAAACCTTCCACTCCACCATCTGTCCCCAAAGAAATTCCACAACCAAAACAATTAAGCTGAAACTCCACCAGCATCAGCTGCCCCAGCACCAGCATTTCACCGCTTTTGCCGTGATCATCCTGCGTTCGAAAGATCTCCCTTAAGGCTCCGTCGGGTGAGAATGGAAGCATTCTTCACTACATGGAAGTCACGTAAGTGTTACGTGAAAAAAGCGATGGAAAAAATCCACATATGTTTTCACGTAGCATTAACGTGTAGAATTTTTTGAGTGCAGGGAGCCTTTCACCACCAATCACCACGCGGTGTTATAATTTGAATAAACACTGTTTGGTGAGACCGGATGGAATTCAACTTAGAAATCTGTGTTAGGGAAATCGCTTTTCGCAGGCAACCGGTGATAAAATTAATTATCATACCAACAGTTGCACATTCGCGGAATATTCAATAGTGACATTGTGAAAATTGATTGAATTCGTGCAATGCGTAGATGCGTAGAGATATTTCTGATCGATTGGTGATAAAATTATTGGAATTGGTCCAGGGGAAGCTGAGTTATTAACGTTCAAAATCTTTCAAAATTTTGTTACATATTCCATTTTCGGTTTTCACAAAGTGTACCCCCATATAGAAATCACAAACGTAGTCCTACGTCAAAACAAAAGGTGATGGGTCGCCAAAGTGTGGATGCAACCGCATTTGATCAAGATGCCCCGAAAATGCCTCGCAAGCAAGCTGGTGCCAGCAACCACACGGAAAGGTTGCTTCAGAGTAATCCGCTTTCGGCACTCCCCGAAGAAGCAGATGTAGATCCAGTTGAGAAACGGGAAAAAGTGTCCCCACTGTTCACCTCGACGAAGGAACTCGCGTTGCTCAGGAAAGAGCTGGCAAAAAATCAAATCCATCCACTGTTCAAGCTGTGCAGCACGGAGATCAAAATCTTGTGCTCGGCGCTGGTGAACTACAACGCTGTTGGCACTTTTCCTCAGCTGAACCGGTTTGAGTTCTACACTCACGACGTTCTTGGAAGAAAATTACTGAAAATGGTGATCCGTAGTCTGCCAAATCTCCCTGTTGCGAAGATTAAAGCGGAATTGGAACACCTTCATCTGCAACCAATCAACATTTTTCCTATTGCGAGACGTGATGAAACAAGTGCATTCCGGGACCAGTTGTACCTGGTGCACTTCGATAAGGACTCCACCAGTGTGGCTGCTCTGCGGCAGATTTACGCGCTGTTCAACATCGTGATTCAGTGGGAGCAGTATAGCCCTCGGCACCGTGACGTGACACAGTGCACTAATTGTCTGGCATTTGGGCACGGTACGAAGAATTGTCACATGAAGGCTCGTTGTGGCAAATGTGCTGGGGCTCACAATACTACCGCCTGCAAGAAAGAAGAAAAAGCTGAACCTAAGTGCGTGAACTGTGATTCCAACCATCTGGGCAGCGATAGGAGATGTCCCAAGCGAGCGGCCTTCATCCAGATCCAACAACAGGCTTCCACGAGGAGCCATCCGGCTCGTCGTATGGTCCCGAACCTAGCACCGCTTCCACTAAACCAGCGCCCCCCTGTTGCGAATCCAACATCAGATCAAGCGGGTCCCAGCCACCGTTCAGTTCAGCATCGTCTCACTGATGCTGCGACCCAGCCGAGCCATGTCTCTACTGCCCCAGGATTATCGTACGCCCGTGCTGTGTCAGGTGAGTCAGAAGAAAATTCTCCACTCACAAGCGATGAATTAGTGATCCTCGTGTCTGAGCTGATCATAATCTTGCGCACCACCAAGACACTTCCTGAACAGCTTCGTGCAGTTATGGCCCTCGTGCAAAAGTATGGACCGTGAAGCCATCAAAATAGCCAACTGGAACGCTTGCTCACTCAAGAGCAAAATCATTGAGTTCGATGAATTCCTCAATAAACATAGCATAGACATCGCCGTCATCACCGAAACACACCTGAAACCGGAGATAAATGTTCACCTCCCCGATTTTCGGCTCGTAAGACTAGACACCATCAGGGACGGGTCGGCAGCAGACCTTCGAAAATAGAAGAGAGACCAGAGTCGGCAGCAGACCTGCGGAGAGACATTATCAGACTAACTCGACGCCGTGAGAAGAACATCATCGCTGGCGACACGAACGCCAAACACCAGGCTTGGGGCAACAGTCGACGCAACCAAAAAGGTACAATCCTGAACGACAACCTGCAAGAGTCTCACTACACCATAAGAGCGCCGGACTCTCCCACCCGCTTGAGCCGGTCTGGCGTTCATGCCACCATTAAAATCTTCGTCAGCAACATGGTAGACAACATTTCGCAACCTGTGGCATTCCAGGAGCTGAGTTCGGACCACTATCCGGTGGTGACCGATGTGGGCTCATCCGTCAACCGATTTCAAGCTTCCCGACGCAACTACCATCGCGTCAGCTGGGATCAGTTCCAACACTGTGTCGACTACGGTGTTCTTCCTTCCTTCGGTGACCGGTGTCTGCATTCCATTGAGGAGGTGATATCCCGGGCCAGGGTACCCCACGTGCCAGTATTCGGACAGGTGAGCAATACTCTGAACTTTGACAAATCTACTAAAGACCTTATAAGACTCCGTAACACCATCCGAAGGCAGTACCAACGCTCTGGTCTACATGTCCTTAAGACCCACTGTAAACTTCTAACAAAAACCATCCAAGCTAGGATGGTGGACCTCAGAAATCAGGACTTAGCTAGCAGGATCCGCTCTCTCCCATATTGTGCTAAGCCCTTCTGGAAACTAACAAAAATCCTTAAAAATAAGCCAGGACCCATTTCACCACTGACCCCAATGGACCGTTCCGGTCACCTTGTGCTTCATCTGATAACTCCTGAAGAAAAGGCTGCCGCGATAGGTCAACACTTCGTCAGCTCCCATAATCTCGGACAAAACATCGTCAGCCCTCACGAAGCTGAGGTTGCTGAAAATGCATCCAAGCTTTATCAGATTCCCAATTTTTTTTCCGAGGAATCCGAGATTAAGGCTGACGAACTGTTGGCCTATATCAAATCATCTAAAAACATGAAGGCACCAGGTTTTGACAACATCCTGAATCTGAAACTCAAACACTTGAGTTCCAGATTCTACAACCATCTGGCACTGATTTTTAATCTGTTCCTCAGACTTGGCAACTTTCCCTCGTGTTGGTAGTCAGCTAAAGTCATACCCATCCGGAAACCTGGGAAGGATCCGTCCTCTTCTTCAAGTTATCGACCAATCATCCTTCTCTCAGGGTTATCAAAACTGTTCGAAAGAGCAGTGTACCACCGGCTCCTAACATCTGCCGATGAAAACAACTTGTTACTCGAGGAACAGTTTGGTTTTCGGAAAGGTCGTTCGACCGTCCACCAGCTGACTCGAGTAACAAACATTCTCAGACGGAACAAGTCTGTTTCGAAAACATCTGCCATGGCGTTG